TTGGCCTAGTTCTCCAACTTTCTATCTTCCTACCCATATCCTTGTGGACCAACAGCCTTTATAAAATGTTTCCAAAGTGCCACACTCTCTTCTTCCTCAGTCTTAACACACCCTGCTGTTTTTCACCTGGGAAGCTACATCCCATCTATCAGATCTCTGGTCAAATAATAATTCATCAGAAAATTCTTTTCTGACCATCTGTCTAAATCAAGTACCTGTTATAACCTCTTATTCATTTGTTCATACATGTAAAAATATTTATTAAATGCCTTCTTTGTTCCAAGCATTAATCCAGACCAAAGGTTCTCAACCTGTGGGTCGCGACACCTTTGGCGGTCGGACGACCCTTTCATAGGGGTCGCCTAAGACCATCCTGCATATCAGATATTTACATTACGATTCATAACAGTAGCAACATTACAGTTATGAAGTAGCAATGAAAATAATTTTATGGTTGGGTCACAACATGAGGAACTGTTTTTAAAGGGCCAGAAGGTTGAGAATCACTGATCTAGACCTTCAGGGACAAAATCTAATAGGTAGATGGGCATTTGTGTGTGTTTATGCGTGTGTGTGTGTGTGTGTGTGTGTGTGTGTGTGTGTGTATGTGTGTACATATAGTTGCTCAATATTTTTTATAGAAATTAATGTGGAAACAAAACCTTTTTAGGTCTTTGGTATAAATGGAGTGAAGAGGAGATGAAAATAGGATTAGGCCTATTTGAGGTGGGTTTTCAGGGTAGATCTAGGATTATAGGAAAATAGATATCAGTTCAACATAATGAAGGCTGAACAAATTAGAACTATCTGAAAATAAATTTTAAAATAAAGCCCTTCAAGATTTTGAGTTTTCTCTGGCTCTCTATATTTAAGCAAAGGCTAGATAAGTACAGACTGGTCATTTTGTGGAGGGAAGTAGAATTGGTTTTCTATTGTATGTCACAAATTATCACAAAATTGGTAATTTAAAACGACATGGATTTATTCACACACAGTTCCGTTAAGTCAGGCATCTGGGCATGCTGTGCCAGCATTCTCTACTCAGGGTCTCACAGCTGAAACCAAGTTGTCAGTCAGCTGTATTCTCAGATAGAGCTCAGGCCCTCTTTTAAGCTCATGTGGTTGTGGCAGAATTCAGTTCCTTAAAGTTGTCAGACTGAGATAACTATTTCCTGGCTGGCTCTTAGCCAGAGGCTGCTCTCAGTGACTAGAGATGGCCTCAACTCTTTATTAAGTGGTCCTCTCCTTCTACAAAGCCAGCAGTGGAGAAATTTTTGTGCATTTAATATATCTTTTGCTTAATATATCTTACTTTCTCTTTCATAACTAGCCAAAGAAAACTCTGTGCTTTTATAGGACTCATGTTATAAAATCAGGCCCACTTGATAATCTCTCCCTATTTTAAAGTACATTTATTTGAATTCTTAATTACAACAGCAAGATTCCATCACATCAGCACCTATATCAGTGTTTGGTAGAAACACCGGAAGAAGCTATGTGTATAGTGGCCAATTATCTGAGGGGACATCTGCCTACATAAGGGTGAGACATAAAAAGACAAGTTGACCAAGATCATCTCTAAACTTCTTTCAAATTCTGATTCTCTGATCTTCTAATTCATTTGCCTGTTCTATGGATTCAACCACCCCAAATAGACCTAAACCTTTACTTTCTCCATGTTGCTACCATATTGTTTCTTCTTTCCTGAACAAATCAAATGGTCTATGAATTTGTTCCTTTTCCTTTTGTGCAGTTGCCAAACTGGACTTGATAAAATGGACTTCTTAACATCTTACTCTGACAACTTGATGGTTTCCCATTGCCTGCCAAGCTATCTGCAAGTCCCACAGAAACAGTATGTCCCCAAGTCATTGTGCAGTCTTTCTATTTGTCATTGCCAATATGGATTATAAACTATGGTCGCAGTTAGCTTAGATCCCATTACTCCCTAGAATCTCTATCTTTACAATCAGTGAAATCCCATATCACATGCTATCTTTTCTCTTAAGACTTATTCAGAATCCCCAGGCCAGTCATGGTTCTCTGCTTTGTGTTAAAATATCTTGAAAATATGTCTTTTCTTCAAGTAGTTGAGTTCAAACATAGTGGTTGAGGAATTTGACTGAATTATGGGAATTCTACTTTTTAGCCAATTCAAAATTTATTCTATAAAGATAATTTTTTTCTTAAAAAATAATTTTTCTCTAATAGTTTTCCCACATAAGTAAAGATAGAAGAGGGAGGGTGTTACAAGTAGTACATCAGTGTCCTGTTTGCAATGATCCTTTAAAGATTAATGTTTGCTTAAATGCAGTAATATTTGATGATAAATATTTAATATTTGAAAACAGAGTAATTAAATTTGGTCAATTTAATCCAATGGCTATAAGTAACCTCCTACTTGTTTTCCATTGCATTAGACTTTCTCTTCTCTTCCAGATTTAGGCAAATATACAGCAATCTGTCTAGATAATTGAGTAAAAATTTAAGAGGAAATCTAAAATTTCAACTCAAGTCTAGACCTCTCTTCAGAACTCCAGACTCATGCAACTATATACTATTTCACATCTCCTTCTGGATATATAATAGGCCTTTCAAAGTAAACATACTAAAAAACAATTCTCAATCTTTCTTCCCAAAGCTTACTCCTTCCACAATCATCCCCCTCTTGGTTAATAGCGATTTCATCTTTCTTTTGCTCAGTCCAAAGACCTTAGCATTTCCCTATTCTCCTCTCTTTCTCTTACATACCACATGTCATACATCAGCAAATCCTATTAGTGCTCCTTTAAATTAGATTTAGACTCTCAATACTTCCTGTCATTTTTGCCACTACATTACTGGTCTAGGCCATCATGATCTCCTATGTTGACTTTACAATAGCCTCCTAATTATTCTCTCTTTTCACCCTTGTATCCCTTAGTCTATTCACAACACAGTAGCTTGAGTGATTCCATGAAAACATATGTTAGAGCCTATCACTTCTCTATTCAGATTAAAGTAATAATAACTTACAACATTGTACCAGTACATAACCTGGCTTTCAGTGTTTTTTCTTAGACCTTAACTCCTAGTAGACACACTAGCCTCTATGTTATTTTTCAAATATACCAAGCATGGTCCCAACTTAGGGTCCTTAATAAAGCATTTTATTCTGCTGGGATGATCTTCCCCCAAATTTTCACTTTTACTTTCCCCACCTTTATCTGAAGCATCATGTTTTCTAATCAGTGAGGCCTTCTCTAACTACTCAATTAAAATTTCAATATCCCTGTAATTCTGTCTCCTTTTTTGCTTCCTTATTTTCCTCTACAACACAAATCATCATCCAAAGTACTATATCTAATACTTGTTTATACTTTTTTTGTATACTAGAGGCCCAGTGCATGAAATTGTGCACAGGTAGGGTCCCTAGGCCTGGCCAGGGATCAGGGCTATTTGGGCCTTCCTTCCCCAGCTGCCAGCTGTCAGCTGTTGGCCAGGGCCTTCTTTCATTCTGCACCGCCCCCTTGTGGTCAGTGCACATCATAGCAAGCGATTGAACTCCCGGTCTCCTGGTCCAACTCCCGAGGGGACACTTTGCATATTAGCCTTTGATATATATAGATAAACCTCCTTAATGTAAATTACACAAGAGTAGGGACTTTTGTTTGTTTTCTTCACTGTATTCCCTACACCTACAATATTACTTGGAACAAATTGGGTACTCATTTGTATTTATTAAATGTTGAATTCATATGATATGTTTAGGAATGAGTGAGTTTTCTATTAATTATCTTATTTTCAAGTTTGCATATATTTTTTATGAATTATGCCATTTCCATACAAGCCATTGTTATCATTCATTCTATCTCAGCCTTCTGAGCAAAAGCCCTTGCATATAAGCATGGTTGAAGGAAGTACCCATACCACTTAGTATATTGTTATTTCATATTTCTAACCATAACATGCTTATATTTCTTATCCAATAAATGGCTATTTCTTTTTTAAAAAGACATAAACCTTATGTATCTTTAATCCCTACATAGGCTCCGAGCCTAGCCCATGGTATGCATATAGGAAACCAATAGTAAATATGAAATCTAATAAATGAGTTCAAGTAGGAGCATGTATTATAGGTGATATACAGATGTCTTGGTCTGAGTATTAACATCAGTGTGCTGGATGATTATCTAGAAAGGGTTTTGTTAATTCTAAATATGTGCAAGATAAAATAAAAATCAACTAAATATTAATCTATTTAATAATCTTTTTTATTTTAAATTATTTTATAATCAACATTTACTATATGTAAGATGCCCTTGTCTCTGTCTAGACCAGTGGTTCTCAACCTTCCCAGGGCCGCGACCCTTTAATACAGTTCCTCATGTTGTGGTGACCCCCAACCATAAAATTATTTTCGTTGCTACTTCATAACTGTAATTTTGCTACTGTTATGAATTGTAATGTAAATATCTGATATGCAGGATGCATTTTCATTGTTACAAATTGAACATAATTAAAGCATAGTGATTAATCACAAAAACAATATGTAGTTATATATGTGTTTTCCGATGGTCTTAGGTGACCCCTGTGAAAGGGTTGTTCAACCCTCAAAGGGATCGCGACCCACAGGTTGAGAACCACTGGTCTAGACATTTAAATATAGAATGTCTTTCTTAGGAACTGAACATTAAACACTCAGACCATACCTAGGAAGGACAGAGGACTATATGAGCATGCAAGTTTCTTTGTACCAGTGCTTGTATATGAAGCAAAAGTTTATATTGTAAATGAATTGGGGAGCAAAACTAGGAATAAAAATAATCACAATTATTTTGTCTTCTACCTCTTTGAACCTGCAGTCTCTGAAGCACCAGCTTAATATTAATCTAAGGGCAATTTTAATAAGAATGCCACTAGTTACATTCTAAGTAGTATTTTTAAATCCCATCTTTTACTTCTGTTTACAAAATGTTTGGTAATTCCAATGACTTTGTATTTTTCTCTTTAATTTTTAGTTCCCAGTGTTCCCACAAATATTGCTTTTTCTGATGTTCAGTCAACTAGTGCAACATTGACATGGATCAGACCTGACACTATCTTCGGTTACTTCCAAAATTATAAGATTACCACTCAACTTCGGGCTCAAAATTGCAGAGAATGGGAATCTGAAGAATGTATCGAATATCAAAAAATTCAATACCTCTATGAAGCTGACCTAACTGAAGAGACAGTATATGGCTTAAAGAAATTTAGATGGTACAGATTTCAAGTGGCTGCCAGCACCAATGCCGGCTATGGCAATGCTTCAAGTTGGATATCTGCACAAACCCTGCCTGGCCGTAAGTTTTGTCCTGTATATGTACATATATTTTTGCATTCAAGAAAAAGTTCTTTAATTGATTTTTCCATGGGAAGTACTCAAAGTATAGGTAAAGATTGCTCTTATAACTTAAATTTTATATTTTAAAACTAACTGCCTTACTTGCTGTGACTTCATTAATGTTAAGTAAATAAATTTCTATTATTATCTTCTGAACATTGTTTGCATAGAATTGTGATGGTTTTCATGCAATATATATATGTCCCCCCAAAATGTATACACACTTTGAATGATTATAAAGTCAGTGTTTATTAACATACAGTTCATTTTCAAACTGATGACCATTGTCGAGGCACTGCTGACAATACAAAGCAATGGAATCACAAACATCAATAATAATTTCATTCGGTATTTTTGTGCCCTCAATTTGTCAACTGTTGCTGGTTTTGTACCATAAACTTTATGTTTTATGTATCCCCATGAAAAAATCTAGTGGCACTTTAGGACAAATTTTCTTAGATCAAAGCTTAATCAGGCTTCACCCATTATTTCAAATCAGTTAAACCTGAAAAGGAGTGACAATTAAGTGAGTTATCAACTGTTAAGGTATGGATTCATTTTTGGGAACAACCAATATATACAGGAATAAGAGTATATATTATATACATATATATGTATCTATGCATATGTTATATATCATTATATATCACACACACTGATTTCTGTTGTAGTTTATATCTATGTGTTGATTTCTACTTAATTAAATTGTGTAAAAATCACTGAACATAAAAATTACTGAGTTAGTACACAAACTAACTCATGTAATAACACATTTACTTTTAACTTAATTGAATACCAATGGGAAATTTATTTCTGTCATTAGGGTTTTCTCAGACTTTCAGAGTTATGTCATAGAGTCTTATATTACAACTAGAGGCCCGGTGCACGGATTCGTGCACTGGTGGGGGCCATGGCCTTCGGAGATCGACCTGCTGTGGAAGCACACTGACCACCAGGAGGCAGCTCTTGTGTTGAGCATCTGCCCCCTGGTGGTCAGTGTGCATTATAGCTTCAGGTCGACCAGTCGTTTTGGTCATTCCCCTGTTCAGTCACTGGGCTTTTATATATATAGACAAAGCATTACTGCTTTCTCTTGTGGTCTATCATTAGGCTATAGCAATTGATATCAAGAATGCTTTTTCTATGCCTACATTTTCCCTTCATATCTGGAGGATATGAAACCAGGCTTTACATCCTTTTTAGTAACTGTAGTCAGTCTCTCTCTCTCTCTCTCTCTCTCTCTCTCTCTCTCTCTCTCTCCATCTTTTCTTCCCTCCTTCCCTCCCTCCTAGACAGATCTGTCTTCCAAACGCTTTTTAGTGTATGCTTTTCACTTGAACAATGTTCTGACACAAAGAAGTACTCAGGGTCTGACTCACAGCTTGAGATGGGGAAAAGGGAAAAATACAGAGAAGAAACACAAAATAATCTCTCAAAATTGTTCTGCCATCTACACATATCTCAGGACTTCTGCATTCAAGTAAACACTCTTTAAATGTTTTTCCAGAGAAGTCACTAAGGGTAGGTAAAGATTGATGTTGCAACTTTAGTTTAATATTAAAAAAAACTAACTTGTTACACTACTTGTTTAGATATTAACCATAATTAAGTAAATGTTTCTATTACTTATTAAGAACACTATCTACATATAATTATGATGGCTTCCATACAAAACAAATAAATTGTAAATCAAGTTCTGCTTTGAGTGTCTGCCCCCTGGTCAGTGCACATTGTAGTGACTGGTTTTTCCACCATTCAGTCGATTTGCATATTAGCCTTTTATTATATAGGATGAGAAGATAAAATTATGAAAGTGAACAACTTATCTGAATAATAGAAAAGACAAAAAAACAATACAAGTTGGTATAAAATTACTATTTCACATATGCACATTTTATTCTAATAGCACCAAATTGTGTCCAAGCTCTTAGCAAAATAGAACATGTTATCAAAACCTGGAACTTCTGGATAAGGAGAGAACAATTGGTGGCTAGTTTGAAATCAAATTATTCACTTTGAATAACTCAAATAAAGGACAACATAATGAGGTTGATAAATATTATTTTAAAATGTTCTGAAATGGCTTGTAAAATTAGAAAATATGTTGTATTTACTCTCTCTGAGCTAGTAAAGAAATTCAAAATAAAGATCCAGGGAGCAGAATTGGATTGCAAGCTGAGGATTAAATTGGGTTACTTGCTGAATCTGAATCTACCACTGTACACTAGAGTGAACAAAGAAAACAGTATTCAGGCAACAGAAGCTAACATTTCTTTCTCCCACATACTCTGATCTAGATTATTGAAGCCAAATTGCTATTCTCCTTAAGTCATCTGTGTAATAGCCATAACTCTCTACTTCATGCTGAGTGCATATAGATACAAAAAAGCATGGAAATTACAAATGGCAGAAATATTTAACTTGCAACATTAAAATCTTGGAGATCATTTTACTAATCTATTATTTTTTTATTACCCCTATACTCAAAAGCAATTTGAGTTGAGTAGAGGGAGGAATATAGACTGGAAAGCTGCTAAGTATCTCTGTGGTGCACAATAGGTACTTAAAATGTTGAGGAAATGTATAACTTTAAAAGAGTATGGGTGTGAAATTAGAATGGAATGAATTGAGACTCTTCATAATGTGCATCTCCTATGGACCACCAGGACTGGAAGACAGCAAGAAAGGAAAATTCCTGGGGTAGCACTGAGGTTGTGAAAACCACAGGATACCGTACTCATGAGGAATTTTAACTACCCAAACATCTGTTAGGTTAAAAAAAATTCAACAAAACATGCCTCATCAAAGAAGTTTCCAAGGAATGCAACTTTATGATCTAAAAAGAAGAAAAACCAAATAGAGGGCAAAGTATGGCATAGCATTTTTTAAAATAAGCAATCGTTAATGAGTTATTCAATTAATGTGATGAATGCTGTCATAACAGAAGTAGATATTATCCTTTCTATAAAGAAGCAATTATATGATGGTTAGCCATAAATAAATAAGAAGACATAGTCTAAGACATAGAGAAGCCTATTTGATTCAGTTCATTTTTATAATAGACTTTATCCTGCTGCTACTAGAGGAAATGAATATAATTTATTCTACACATGAGGAAATTAGTTAGATGCTGTGGAAAGTCTTCTCGGTTAATTTTCTGAGACTCCCAAGTGTGTAATTCAAGACATGTCCTGACTGGTAGCCCAGTTAGTTAGAGCATCATCGTGATGTGCCAAGGTTGAGAGTTGGATCTCCCCCAGTCAGGGTACCTACAAGAGTCAACCAATGAATACATAAATAAGTGGAATGACAAATTGATGTTTCTCTCTCTCTTTCTCTCTCTCTCTCTCTCTCTCTCTCTCTCTCTCTCTCTCTCTTTCTAAAGTCAACTTTTAAAAAAGACAATATCTCTCTCTTCTACACTTGTATATTAAAGTTACTAGTACAACTACTTAGGTTTCCACAGACTTCTCAGACCCCGTATTACCATTGCCCCTCCCCCACTATAAACCTTTTCCTGTCTCAGTGCATTATACATTATTCATCTAACTGTTGAAGTGAGCAATCTAGGAATAATTTTTAATTCTTTCTAGCTCTAGCAATCCTCACCACCAAGTCCATATCTGAGTCCTATTGAATTTACTTACTGAATACTTCTCAAATTTATTTTTTTCTGTTAAGGGTCTCTAAATCCAGACCTTTAAAATGCATATCCTATATTATTGCAAAAGATTTCTAAATGGTCTTTCTGTTCCCATTTTATCTATCCCTGTCTGAACTCAGTTTTTGAATATACCTATATGACGTTAATCCTCTGCTTAAAAGCTTTGATAGTTTTACACTTTCTGTGTAATAATCATACATTTTAGTATGCTACACAATACCCTCCTTTATGACTTTGTTTATACTCCCTATATATGCCTTGTTTATTCTTCTTTGTGCTTTAGAATCTTTGATTTTTTTTCTTACTGTCCTTCTTTGGGAGAGCAGCCTTTTCTATAAATTCCTCTCTCCATTCCATCTCCCAAAACTTGCTCCTGAAATACTGATCATGTCGTTGTCATAATTGTTTATTTCTCTCTCTCTCTTCTGTGGAACTCTGAGCTCCTTAAAGGCAGAAGTGACCACGTGATCATGTCTTATATATGTTTCTACCATCTAGACCTACTCAATATTAAAGACTAAATTAATATGGCAGTTGGATTTGAAGAGGGCATTTGACTTTAATGTGAAAGTATTTAAATGTCAACATTCTCCATTTGCAAAATTGTTCAACACTAAATTTTCATCATTTTTTCCCTTTAACTTATCTTTCAAATACTTGCATGGTTATTGCAAAAATTAAAATTTTCTATACTTGACATCTTCAGCTTCCTTTATTTCACAAAATGAGTATATAATATATATTTATTTTTTTATTTTCCCTTTTCATTAACATAAGTATGAATTACTGCATATAGTAATGAAATAAGCATGTAGTAAATAGAGAAAGATTTTAAGCAATATGTGAAAATAATAAATGCCTCCTTTAAATAGGCTGCAATATTCATTGTATTATTTAAATGATTAACTGAGATAATAAACTCTTAATGAATTTGTATAGCAAGCTGCATCATATAGGTTGATCATCTATGAAGAAAACAAAGAAGAACAATGTCTAAATTTGGGCTGCTAAGTATGATTACAAAGAGAAGCTATTTGGATAAAATCATAATTTATAGAACATAATACTAAGCACATAAAATTAAAGTTTTAATAAATCATTCAACTATACATTTAATCCAAAAGAGCTATTGCCAGGTTATTAAATGAGTTTTTCAGAATTTAAATAAAAAAACATTTTGAAAGGCTATTACATAAGCACATAGAATGTGTTTTTTCAGTAAAATCACTAAAAATCAAATGAAATTATATCACTATATTATATTTTAAAATTAATATTATAGAAAACCTGGTTAA